TGTTTCCTGATACGGACGAGTCAAAACTGCGCAGTCAATGAGAGCAGCTCAACATGCAATTCGTCACAAGACACAACTGGACCTCTGTCCTCTGTAAATCATGAGATCACGCAGGAATTCATCTTTCCAGGCTTCGATCAATGGGATTGTGTCCAACGCTATTGTGACGTCACCCATTAGTTTGTGGAGTAACGTTAGAAAGTGTTGCACACTGTTGAACCTGCAGGAAGCGGAGAGAAGGCACTATGGAGCATAAACGTCACATCCTTTGGTCCTCTTCCCTACATAGAAAGGAGTTAAAGAGACTTGAACACTTGCTGTGTATCTGACTGTATTTATAATTCATGGACACTTTGTTGAAATTGAAAACAGCAGCGGGTGAGGGGTGAGGGGTGAGGGGGGATTTAAGTAGTTGTCACCTGATGTGTTTGAGGTACAAGCAGTTTTTGGCTCCTGTTACAAAAGAATCAGACAAGTGGTCGTACCGGTCCTTTAATTATTAACTCACTCAACAAGCTTGCTACTTGATACAAAGATCCATCAGACTGACAGACAGCACACAGAAGGAAAAAAATGACATTTAGTTTTCATGCAGCACTTTTTTTCTTCACATTTACAAGTCACATTTATTTAATAGGTGCTGTGGTGATATTAATGATTAATGAAGAAGTTGTTGGTCTGTTATACAACTCTCTACTCTGCTATAGCTCAGACACAAAGAGTGGTCCACTACATTTTCTTTTCAGATTACACTTCTGTTCTACTGTTTGTGATAAACTGAAGGATGAAGTTCAACTTCTTAAACTAAATAACCTATTTAAAAATCTTCTTGAATAAGCTGGAAAATGCATCATCACAAAGCTGAAATGGGATAATCCACACGACAAACATGATGATTTTATAAAATATGTTAAAGTTATTCAAATAAGCTCAACCTTACACAGCAGTAAAATGCAACATTTATGCAGCAATAATATTAATTTAAAAACATCCGATATAATAGTAAAACACCTGTTGTTAAAGCGCCACCTGTGGCGACCGACACCAGACCCACACCGTACAGCCAAGATACAGCCAGCCGGACAACCCCAGCCTATATAAAAAAATAAAATAAAATACAATAAATAAATAAATAAACAAACATTCTACGAAATAAATCTGAAGAATCTTACATATGGAACTATTTAAAGGAACTAAATATTTCTTTCACCACTTTTCTGCAGCCTGTGTGGCACTAATGACCCCTCATACATCCACAGCACTATCAACCTGTCTCTCTCTCTGTCTCTCTCTCTGTCTCTCTCCCTCTCCCCCCTCTCTCTCCCTCTCTCTCTCCTGGGAAAGATGCAGCAGTTTTTCTCTATGCATTAGTGCTGTCCATTAGTACTTAAGCAATATTACAAGCTGCATCTTTTTTTTTTACTTAAAAAAACAAAAAACATCCTTATTAGAAGAAGTCTCCGATATTTCATTAAATATGTATTTCACCCCAAATTTCAGACTTTTAAATGACTTTATGGCACATATTCTTATCTCCCAGCGTACCATACATGTACACACATGTAGATGACAAAAACCAAAAGGTGAATTCTGCTGCAAACTCTCTCCTTCCCCATTGCAGTGTTCAATACAGCATTGTATGAATACTGCAACAGTCTATCTTCTTGAAATTACACTCTTTGACACACACATTTAATGGGTGCACTGTATGATACTAATTATTTGTTAATGTTATAGAGTGGTTACCTTTTGCCTAGTTCATCCTTTTTAACAAGCTGATTCCTGTATCAGTATGGCACAGTTGAACCACATTGTTTAGTGTTTAGACTCTAGAAAATGTCACAGACACATCCTCAGCATTGTTTAATGACTGTTAATACTGTAAGCCTTTTACTTTATTAAAGTCCCATTAAAGTCACACTGTAACATTATTACCTCACATGTAGGTTTAAACTGCTCCAGCTGTTACTTTCATTGCCTATGGGTGGCACAGGTTAGACCGTAACTGCAGGTGCTGCAGCTCTGCAACTGGATGGAAACTCAAAGTGCTTTCGCTCTGAAGAGATAGGACCGACAGCTTTATAAACAATGCATTACCCTCTGCTGTGTTTCTCAGCAGCACCTGAGGGAAGCAGAGCCCCTGGAGTTAATGCACTGGTAATTGGTCTTGAATTTCTGAGGAAGCAGATACATCAACATCTAATGCAGCTGAGGTTTGGTGTTAATGCACACAATATGTCATTCACTATTCAGTCAGTTGTTAATGATGCAAAACTGCATACATGACTTCAAAATAGTTTCTGATTTACACTGATTGTTGTGAATTTTCACTGTAAGGAATGCTCATGAATGTTTTTTGGCAAATATTTAAACCTAGTCAGAAATCAATTAGAATTCATGTGGCAATATTTCTATTTTTTATAAGCTAAAATAATAATAAATGTACCAGCACACAAACACACGTTTTACTGCCAGCGTTAAACTAGTAGATGCAAAAACTAGTTGTATGCGTGTGTCCTTGAGTCCTGCCAGGAACACTGGGTAATATCTGTGTGGATGTACCTCACATCAGCACATCAAAAATTCCCAATGGTCAAATGAGGAAGGAAACGTAAAAATGAAAACAGAATAATTTCCCTGACTGTGTGATTTAGAAACTTTGAAAATTTGGAACTAAGATGTCTGTTTTTTATGCTAGATTTGATATTAAGATAAAATTGTCCAATAAATCCAACAGAATTAAACACAGGTAGCAAAATCTATTTTTTTTAAAAAGAGTGCAAGGTTCTTTTTGCTTGGTTTGCTTTTTACTAGTATTTAAACATTTCTTACAAAAATACTTAATACAAAAACTGTTTACTATTTCAAATACAGCGATCATGTGCTGTGTACGAACACTTGTACAGATACGAGGTGTGAAACAGTGACACAAGTGTGAAAGAGATAAAAAGGCTGAATGTGAAAGAAGTGAATCTCTGGGGATGTTGCACCCTAACAGGGAAAGAAAGAAAAGGGGGAAGTAATAGTATCTGTAAGAAATCAAGTGTGCGATCTAAGAAATCATCTTCTTAACTGCAGTTTTAGTGATTTTTCATGGTTAAACCTCAAGAGAAAGGTTACATGGTCCACACATGGTCCTCTGTCAGATAAGAACACCCTACAACCCCAACACAGCACTGCAGGGCATAAAACATGGCTGTGTTTGTTCCTGAAAATGTGAAAACCAGGAAACACAAAGGTTTCACTTAACAATATCAGTACAAGTTTCTCTTTTCATAGTGTCAGGTTACATGGTGTACAGTCTAGTAACAACAGAAACAGTAGCAGTATTGGGGATCATTTCACAGTTTTAAGTGTTGGCAGCTTTTCATTTTGATTCAGCCACTACAAGCCACGGGAAATATGTTTATTAGCTTGCATTGTTTGTAGTGTTTGTTGGTACTCAGGGTTTCTGAGTTTACTTGCTACATAAGCCATCATTTCATTTCGGCATAAGCTGTACGTGCCGTTTTCGGTGTGCTGAACTGAAATGGAAAATGAGCAGTGTGTCTTTATGTCACGTGAATCACACGTGTGAAACTGTAAGGACGCTTCCCTGTTCTCACATTCATACTGAGTTTGTTTTCTCCAAGACAACGCAATAACACTGTTCTGCACAAGAGCACACACATCCTCTCCTTGGGATCCTGGCATGTACTGAATCTCTATTAAGCTCTCATACAAAAAGCTAACAATACAGCATATGAGCTAATGGGAGCATATATGGAGATGGTGCAGGCCTATTTCCCGTCTCGTCACCACTGGAAGAAACAGATCAATCTGCAGATCCCTTCATTCCTCTCCTCCTTTCTGTGTTATATTGTTACAGCCAAATGTTCCAGTGTTGACCAAACTTGCAAAAGTTGATTTCAGATGTGTTCCAGCTCATTTCAGGAGTGTAATCAACTTTGATCTAACTAAACTGAAGTATAGTTTTGGACCTCAGAGATCACACTTTCTCAAAGGGGAACAAATGTTTCTCTTGTCCTCTCTTTTCCCGTTTCGTTGTTGTCTTCTTCTTCAGTCCGCTAACGGTCCCTCCGTCTTCCTCTGCTTGTCTGTTCTGGGGCCAGGACATGGCCAGCGTTTCAGACGCAGTCTTAGCTCCAGGACTTCCACCCTCAACCGCCTCCTCGTCAGACGAAAGCCCGCCGGTCTCCTCTCCCTGAGCGAGTCCTTGGTTCTTCTTGCCGTAGCGTTGTTTAAGCTTTTCTCTGATCAGGAGCCCTTTCACCAGCAGAGTCCAGTTAGCAGTCGCCCTCTTTTCTTTTTTCTGGAAAGTTGGAAGAGAGGAAAAGGTGATGTGGTATTTTGTACCGAACAGGTCTTAAATAACTGGTTTTGCTTTAACTTGAAAGTGGGCTGTTTTATAATAATTTCTCATTTTCACTGCAAAATCAGTCACTCATGGACTTTTTTTGAAAGTTATTAGCTTCAACTCAATGATTCTTAAATGGGTTCAAAACAAAATACACGCGCACACACACACCTCTTTCTCCTTCTGTTTCTGAAGCTCTTGTTCTTCTACCCAGGCCGCTCTGAGAATCTCCTCATGCTCCTCACACACAATGTAACCGTCAGTCCTGAAACACACAGATAAAATATTACTTGTTTCACTACATTTAACATGTTTTCATAACAACTGCATTTTTGTTTCATCAGAAGTAGCAGAAACTACTAATGTCCTATGAGGAGATTTTACAATGTGCAGACCTTGGGGTGTCTGACTTCTGGTAATGTTTACAATGGAGTAGTTTTACCTGAGACAACAAAATAATGTAAAGTAAAGTAAAAAAGGAATAAAAAAGTAGAAACTTTCCTGAGCATGCAACAGATCTAACAGCAAAAAACTAAGCAAAAACACAAATCTCTAAATTTAGAGAGCAACGGATCTAGCTTTGTTATCAAAAATATCTAAGCAATAAAAGAATGATCCTGTCCCAGCAGGAGTGTTGCCTTACACAGCGTGTGAGTATCCTCCGTGGAAGTCGAAGCCTGTGACCGCAGGGGCGGCGTCCATGTCCAGCTTCCGGGCCACGCGGTGCAGGTTAGGCAGCCTGACGTGAACACAACCCACCGGTAACATGCAGGGCTTAAACAGGTAGACGTTACCGTAGTCGTTGCGGGGAACCTGAAGGGAAAAGACATAGAAAACATTAAACGATCCTGTTGTAAAAGTTAGAGTTTTGGTAACTTGTGATGTGCCATTACCTATGATTTTCTACTTTTTTTTTTAAAGAGATGTAAACATGACAGAGTTAGCAAGAATGCTAATTTACATCTGTAGTTCCTAGGAACAGTAACAGTTTCCATTTTCTCTGCTGTATCCTAATATTTGCTGCTACAGTGACCCTATTTCCTCACAGTTATCATTCCACAAAGACGGTTACCTTCCCGTCCACAGCTATCGGCGGCTGGTACTCTTCAGTCTGCCATTCTCCAAACAGAGGCAGATCATTGTCACCCTTCTGCTCAGACATCATCCTGGCCTTACGGGAACGATTAGAGAAGCCCTTCACCATCTGAAGAGAGTGACGCAGTGGCATGGTTATACTACATACATGATGTTTCATTATGTAGTCAGTTCAGATCATACAACAAGCAACACAGCGTTTTAACGTTGTTAAATGTGTAGCTGGCTTTACATGGCAAAAACTGTCACAAGTTATGCATTCAAGTTTCAGATGCAGAGGCCCTGTTATACAGTGAGCACATCTCAGTAAAATCAGGCTAAAACTACATAGACTGTTGTTGAAATTCTCCATAGAGGCCACTGTACTAGACTCTGATCTGATCCATGTGAGAGAGAATATGATAGTAGGTGATCATTTGAGGGCAAAGCTGCATGTCTTAAGTTGCATTTCTGAAAAAAATTAAAATTTTGTAGCTCCACTGCACGAAAAAAAGAGTATTTCCTCTAGAAACTGAACAAGCTGCAAAGTGAGGTAAACCTTGAACTCTCAATGCAATTGTTTGGCTACAAATGACATACAGGTGATTGTATGTCAGTTTCACAGCTTAAATAAACCAGACCTCATCCACTAGGAAGGAATCTGAGATGGAAGATGGCAGTTGTTAACTGTGTGTTTGGTGGTTACATGAACATCAGTGGAGTGTTGATTTACACTCAAATGAATATATTGTGACCAAGTTTTATTTTGAGGTTAACTGTTCCTGACCTTGTTCCTCTTTTTTGATACCAACAGTCCCGAATTATGCAAATAAAAACTGATTTAAGTAGAGGCTAAAGTTGACCTAAATTAGAGAGGAACAATTGAAACGCAGGCGTAAACTAAAATGAGAGAATTGATGGCTGGAACAGAACAAAGGAAGAGAAACAAACAAGAAGAACTTAAATATTCCCTCTCACCTTGTATGGCTCCTCTCCTAGTCTGACAGTTCGTGCTTCTTTCAGCCATGTGTCTTTGGAGTGGAGGGTGTGCACACAATCTCTGAAGAGAAAGAAGATTTACACAAGATAAGAAAAAACAAGAAATATTTAATTTTTATTAAACAGAATAAGAAATTATTATTTGCCTCAAGAATTGAATGTTTTGCTCATGACTTGAGTGCAACGCAGGCTGAATGTTTTTTGATTGTATTTAAAGATACAGATGTAATTTACAGCCAACAGATTACTATCTGCAGGTGAACACCACAGCGTCAAGCACATGACAGTTTTTACTATTAAAATAGCACCACCAAGTGGACACTGATGCTCACAGCAGGTCAACATTAGCCGTGTCCCAATTCAGCTCATTTTCCACACACTCGGCCAATGACGGAGTGTCCAAACTCCCAAAATGAACCCGCTCCTTCTCTGACAGCAAGATGAGACCAAAACTCGTGCTGCTTTCAGGTGCTTCTTCTTAACTCGGAAAGTCAAGTTAAGGTCGTTGCCCTTAAATGACCAACAATGTGTAAATACCAGCGGTTAAGTTGAACAACGTCCACAATGCCCTAGTTTACAGTACGAGTGGTGACGTTTTAGTTTAACACATGATGGCCTACTGGCATTTAATGATAATTGTATCCATACACACACTTGTCTGATTGATTCACTACATGTCCAGAGTAGTTTATTACAGGGTTTTTTTATGGAGGCAATGGCCTTATTTCTTGTTGGTCTTTTTCATCCTAGTTCAAAAAGTCATGAAATGTATCTTCAGAAGTAGTTTACCTAAAATGTATTCACGGCTGACTGATTGACAACTGACCTGGAGTACACCGGTTCTCCTCGGCAGTATCCCAGCACAGTGGCTGTTGAAGGGTAGATGGCTTCATATTTCAGCAGGTGTCTCTTTAAGGCGTACAGTGGGTGGTTCTTATACTCGCCAACTGAGATCGGCAGCGGTTTGTTCAGCAGCTTGTTCTGGAGCTGGGTGGCCAACATTGGGGGAAAACACAGAGAGAAGATGGGTGGCATCAGTATAAATAAGCAATAAACCAGTTGGGAGAAAAATAATAATAGGGAACCGTTTTATTTTTTTATGCATTTGAATTTTTTACTTTCAGTAGGCAAGATATCAAATCTTTTCATGCTTAGGATGAGACTATAATATATACTATAATGGTCTTTCTGCCCCACTGTCACTGACTGGATTACTTGACCAAAGACCCTCTATCATCTTTTACTACTTATACAGTAATACGACTTAGAAGAGACCAGGCATCTGAGAGTTTGGCTTATTAGTCAATGAATGAATTAAATGATAAAAACATCCATGTGTTTATCCCGTACTCATGCTAATACAATACAATATACAATATTCTCAGTGATTTTGCATGATCTGCATTAAACAGAACCAAACAGTAAAAGCTAGGACTTCAAAGAAACAAAAGGTGGTTGATATTTATAACTTGGACCTGAAAACTTAATGTAACACAGTTTTAATTATCTTATTTTTGTTCACCTGCTGTTCAGTGATTTCAGTGATGAACAGTTTTCATTTGTTAACAGGAAAACGTTTGATTGGTGTTATATTTTTGTATTATTTCTAATGTAAATTTGAAAAGTGTCCTGAGTTGATAAAAGTTCCAATTTTCCCACCTTTTAGTGGTCTACTATTATTTAACATAGTTTAAAGTGTTGACATGAAGCACCAGAGCCAACAGTCTACTGGGCAGGGGTGACATCTGGTGCCCATATCCTTATCACGTAATGACCTTAAATATTTCACTCAAGGAGAGAGGGGGATTTGCAACAAGGGGTAAAAGGATGGAAAAGGAAGCATGCACAAATAACAGTATCAACACAACATAATAAATAGAAATATATGAATAACAAATGTGTGGCAGCAATATGAGTGGGTGCAAAACAGCTGCAGGACTACCTGAGATAAAGAAAAAACCCATTCTGAAAGTCTCAACAATTCAGAGGATTAAGTGAGTTTCTGTGTGTTGGAGGTTGAATGTTTGTGCAAAAACCTGTCTGTCTGAATGTCTACATGTCCGTCTGTCTCACCTCCTTTTCCTCCTTTTTGTCCCTCTCGTCTTCAGGTCCCAGGAACGGCTCGAGCGTTTCCTCCCACCATTCTTCATCCACTCGCCTCTTCCTGGATGATGTCATCCAGGTGGGGTCGTACTTCCTTCCCAGGTCCTTCAGAAACCCGTCCCCGTCCACCGACACCACGTACGTCACTGGTGATGTTGCATTCTGGGAGCAGAGCTGAGGCATCCCGACACCGTGCTCCACATCCACGCAAATCCAGGTAGAAGTTTTTTCCAGATACACCTCCAACCACTCGTCTGCTCCAGGCCCCTCCTTCTTTTTCCCACTCCTTCGCTTTGTTCCGTTGCTTGTCGTTCCTTCTTCGTCTTCCTCATCTTCAACCTCTTCCTCCCGCTCCTGGTTCTCTTCCTTTACCTCTTTTTTACCTCCCCCGCTCTTTCTCTTCAGAGCTGTGGTATTCTTGCTGTTGGTCACTTTTGCTTTGCTCTTCCCTGTCCCTGTCTTCTTTGTGGATTTAGCCTCGCTCTCTGAATCCGCACTGTCCTCTTCCTCACTGGTCGCCTGAAATTCCTCCTCATCGCTAAGCCCCTTCTCCTCATTTTCCCCTTCGCTGTTGCTCTCCTCCTTGTAGCTGACCTTTGAGGCGATGCTCCGGCGTTTTGAGTTCTTTGGCCTTTGTCCTCCTGATGTTATAATCTTCTCCTCTTCCTCCTCATCCTCTCCCTTTATTTCTTTTCTCTTTGCTTTCTTCCCTCCTCTGTCTCCTCTGGTCTTCCCCCCTCCTGCTGGTCTTTTGGTACCAGGAGAAACCTTTGGCTCAGGGGAGCTGGTTTTGGAGGTTCCCTGGCCTGTGTTGCTCTTTCCTGGGGCACCAGCAGCTGTTTTAGCCCCTTTTCCCTAGAGAAAAGACATATTCAAATTATGTGCAAAAGAAAAGCCGACTAAAACCAAATACCAGCTAATATTGTGTAATCAGTCTGTAATGAACAGACACAGGCAGAGGCAATAGTATGAGTACATTTTGTTGAATGAAAGAGAGGGCGTTTTGTCCTTCCACTGGTGAACTCTGCTATTTGACTCCTAGAAATGAATGTACTGAAACTGTAAACGAGTATAGACCATTGATTGCAGGCCAGGGGTAGCAGGGGTATCTGGAAATATTATGGAGTAGCTTGAATAATGTTAAATAAAAGAGAAAAGAAAGGAGTTTTATTAAAAAGAAAATGTCCACATAAATCAGCGATGGTATGGTTATGATTGTGAAATTGCATGAAAAGTAGTTGGCAAGGCAGCAGAGAACTGTTGGCTAAAAGTAATGGATAAACGGTTTAATTGTTGATTTTGAAAGCAAATTTTGATTTAGTTTTAGTCATATTTTAATCATCTGAATTGTGTCAGTTTGTCTCATTTTAGTTATCGACAGTAAATCTAGTCGTCTAACATGGGTTTTACAGGTTTAGTATAATCCATTATTCAAATGTTTCTCTAGAATTTCCAAACTCATTATATACTACTGGAGGAAATGTCTATAATGATTAATAAGACAGATTTACAATCTAAAATGAGTAACTCTGGGTCATTCACTTCTCTTATCAGTACAGTGCAGCAGTGGTTTATTTTAGCTTGTATTGTATTTCAACTAGTGAAACCACACCAGCTCAAGTTAGCTGTTAAATAACATTAGCTTGCATCTAACCTCCCTACCACACAGAAGATTAGTTCTGATTGGAACTATTCCCAACTCATCCCTCCATTTATGTACTGTTTTTATTTGTTGAAAAAAGCCAATAGATTTTTGTCTTAGTTTTTGACATCATAAAATAATTTTTATTTAGTTATCATCCAATTTTTGTCAATGAAAAAATGTAATAAAAAACTATGACGAAAATTATTAGTTAACAAAATTCAAAACAAAGCATACTATTTAAAACACTGTGTTTTGAATAGTATACTAAAAGGAATAGATAAATAGTTCAATAAAGTTATTGAATAAATAGTAACAGTAGTAACTAACTTACTCCAAGTGGTAGTGGTATAAATGCAAACTTGACCGAACCAACCAAAACCCTGACAGCTCCAATTGTATCAGAAAACTATTAATATAACATAGAAATACCAATTAACAATTTAAACAACACCAGCTTAAATCAATTAAATGATAAACCTGTGAACTTTTTGTAAGTGTTTGTAAGGGGCTGTGTGGGTACATCAGACAGGAAAGGTTGGGAACCATTGGCAGACTATTAAGCAACTTAACTGGCAGCAAATAGAGTCAGAATGATTGAGTCAGAAACCTCATCAGGTAGGTGTGAAATACAGACCTGGTTCTAATGAACTGAGCTGTAAGCTACCTCTGTTACAAAGGGAAACTGTTAGATATACTCTAACTGAACACCGCTAGCACCTGTATTTGACGACCTGGGAATGAGAATGGACTGTGAAGTGTTTAGGAGAAACTACCGCAAAATGTAAAAATGGTGGCCTCCACGGAAGGCGACAACAAACAAACAACTCATTCTAAGGTGACAAAAAGACAACAATTCCTATATTCAGGTGATTATACATTAATGAAAACATACCTATGAATAATATATTACATTTGTCTGGGAGGGAAGGGTGGTGCTTTTGTTCTTGTTGTTAGTTCAGTTATTTTTTATTGTTTTTATTTTTCTCAGTACGCACTCTTTGTTATTGTTGTCAATTTCAAAACAAGCTGTGTTGTTGGCTGTAACCTCTGTATTCATGGAAATAAATATTTGATGGCAAAAAAAAAATTCAATTTCAGCCAACAAATCCTCCTTTATGTTACACACTGGACCTTTAAGGGAAGAATTCTCAGTACGTTCAACTGTAATCCTGTATGACTTTATTAATTAATTATATCAGTATCCTTTAAAGGGCCCAATAACACAGTGTCAGTACCTTGGCTGAAGGGAGTTTGAGAGGAATCGGCTGCAAAGAAAGAACCAATCGGCAGAAGAGCTGCAGAGACCTCAGGACCAACAGGAACAGCTGCAGGAAACACACAGGAGTATAATTATTTATTCTGTTTATTCTACCTTTGTATGTTCACTGAAAGGCTACATTTCATTTCACTTATACTAAAATACCAACATGAGTCATCTCCTGGTGGTTTCTGACTGATAGGCTGGCCAGCCGTCTCTCCAGCAGAGCCTGGGGGTCTGGACGCTCCTCACAGGAAAGACTGGAGTTGAGGGTGAACGTTGCTCTAAACCTGGGATGAAAATGGACGTAGAAAATACAGTGGTGATCATGTTAATAAGAACTGATAAGTTGACATCTCTGTTACCGCACTGTTTTAATTTTTACACATTTTGACATAAAAAGTAGCTTCAGGCACCACTACACACGTCATATTTAATATTTCGCAAGCACACACCATTTGAGCAGTCCAGAGAGGTAGTTTTGGTCGATGCGGTCCTTGGAGACCATGCCGAAGTGAGTGGGCAGCAGCGACAGAGTGATGGCGAGCAGATCTGGTTCACTGCACAGACGGTTGCGGAACATCCCGCTGGCTATCAGGCACATGAGGTGGACCTGAGAGACCAATCAGAGATTTTTAACGAACAAAATCCCACTGTGGCGATTAGGAAACAGCCATAGAAGGGAAGGGGTGGGTACAGGTGTGTGTTTTCACCTTGTGTGTGTCTATCAGCTGGTCCTTCTTGTATCGGTTCATCATCCGCCTTAGATACGTCTCAAACTCCGCCTTCCTCTTTTGCCTGGCCAATGACAAATTATCATTAGAGTAAAACAGACAAACATTTCTCCATAATATACACTCACACACAAATCTAGTAAAGTAAATATATACAAACTTGCACCCGTTGGAAATGCATACACTGCATGTTTGTAATCAGAGAGAATTTGCAGAGGCTTTCCTAAATATTCCATAAAGATGAAGTGTGTCAGCAGGTCTGAAATACCTCAATTCAGGACTTATCTAGGTATCTTAGACGCCTGACTAAACAGAACATTTTATCTTTAGGACTTAAGATGTTTGTAAAGCTGTAGCTGTAGAGCTGCATTTCAGATGATTTTTACTGAAACAAAAATAGGTCATAAACAGAGTAATTGTTCTCTGACAACTAAATCTCAAATTAGAAAAACACTTTAGGGAGCCCCACAGTTTGTGAACAAGACATTTATTTATGCATGTGCTCATATTATTCTGTCTATTTAAGTGTGCATACAATTTAAATTTGCCTCAACTAAATATCCCCAAGTGACATCCGTCTGTACATGCTACATGTATCATAACTGTATTTATACTGCCTATATACAGTAAGAATTCTATCAATGATATGCTTTATATTTCTTTACATTTATTACATTTATTTTATAAATATGACTAATAATGAATGCCACTGCAAAATAATGTTTCACGTGTCTATTCAGTTTATACACATGCACAAATGTCCACTTACTTTTTCCGGACTTCTGGAGTCTCGATCTCTATCTCAACCGGCTGAGAGGGCAGGATGGGTTCTGGGAGTTCGACTGGACCCAGCGGCTCCGTCAGCTCTGATCAACACAGACACGCTCAATCATTTTGTCTCTTCTGCTTCCCACTTTAACCCAACACGCTGTAGTCCTTAGAAAACAGCATTCTCCCACTTTCTCACCTTTGTATGTAAATGGTATGTAATTAAGGAACTGGAAGTATTATCACACACAACAAGATAACGCTGTTTTCAGCTGATTCCCTCATTTACCTTCCACTTCCTCCCAGTCATCCTCATCTTCGTCACTGTCCCCCTCTTCTTCTTCTTTCGCTGTTTTCTTGGCGTTCACTGTATTAGTACCTGCTGCTGAGGTCACCATGTCAAAGTCCTCTTCACTCTCCTCCTCCTCCTCTTTCTTCACTGGTGACTGGAAGTATTTACTGGTTTTGACAACAGTGGTGGTTGTGGTTTTCCCTGCTGCTCGTTTTGTGGAGGAACGTGGTTTGGGTGTGACCTTCCTCACAAGCTTCTCCTCTTCCTCTGCGATGCCATTACCTTGACGGACAGACAGACAGAAATGGTTTTAAGCTGTTGTTTTTGAGTAATGATTAAGTTTAGTTCAACTGGTTTCCAGTCTTCTACTTCTCACTTCTACTTCATATAGTTTAAAGCTGCTATATTTAGCATCAATGAATCTCAGCCACGTTAAAGCAAACCAAAGGTATAATCACACTAATCAAACTAACAATCACCATTATATGCGGTGTAACATTCAAAAGGAAATTTGTTTTAAAAAAAGCAAAGTGGTGTTGTTTTGTCCATAGAAAATGGACCTAAAGCACTTTTTCTGGTGAGATAAAAAAAATAATTCTACAAGATTAAAGGCCAAACACGAGCAAACACTAATCAAAAGAAATCAAACAAAACAATGGTGATGGTGGTTGGGCTCCTCCTCACAACAGGAAGCAGAGCGGTTTCTATGAATCAGAGTTGCAGTTTATGAATCCCTTGTCATGAAACATGAAAGGCATAAAAAGGCATGAAACAGAGGCTACCAATCATCTCAACCACATCTCATTTGTTTATAGTAAATGCAGGCCGGTAGCAATAATGCTGCTGTTCAAACACACTACAAAGAGCACATTTGCATGATGCTGCTGCTACACTTCCTGTGTGTTTTCTGAATAAAATACAGAAAAGCCTAAATGTGCATTTAAAACTGTGACAAGAGCACAGAGACAGACACACTTGAATTAAGACAAAACGACGACAAAAAAAAAGAGTCAGACAGACAGCTGGATTCAGATACACGAATATAACATGGAGTTACTGATGGCTGACAATGATGCATTACTCATCGCGTATGCATATGTACGGTGCATGCTTTCAGCACACACACAAACTCAGGACAGAAATAGTCCCCTGGTCCCACACAAAAAAAAACATGCTTCATGTTTTCACGAAGTGGAGCACAGATGTGTATCTGGGCCAGCAGATCCACTCCAGTAAACATCCACATCACTTGTACATGCACCTGCACTCTGTGTGGCTCAGAAAGTATTTTTGGTGGCAACAATAATGAAACAGGAAACAACAAAGTAGGAACACAATTCAAACAACACTGAAAATGTATGTATTTAAAGACACATATGAGGTCATAATAATAATAAAATGAAAATACAGTAAATCATCGCTCTCTAGGGCCAGGCAGTAATTAGGGCCCGAGCACTGAACGTGCGAAGGCCCTATTGTAATTGAAGGAATTCTTTTTCTTTTTCCTCCTAAACATCCTAACAAACACATATTTGGGGGAGGCTTGCCCAATGGCTCAAAATCATGAAACTCGGCACACATGGGTCAGCGGGCCGAAAAATTTTTATATTCTGGTGTGTCGCTTTCGGTTTGGCCACTAGGGTGCCGCTACTATCATTAAAAGTTGCGTTTAGGCTAATAACTTCTCTATTAGTTTGTCGCACATTCCAATAAACCTTATATTCACGCGTTTCGGTGAATGGAGCTGAAACTCCCCATATAGGGCCACGCCCACTTTCCGCCTTAGATTTTTTTCCGCTAGAGCGCCCGAAATGTCCAAAAAACACTTTTTTCGTTTTACTCCTACTACAACTTTTGTCCGATTTCCACGAAATTTTCATTATAGCATCTTGGACGCATCCTGCAAAAAGGCATTTGAAGAATTCTTGATATTTCAAAAAATAAGCCTGTTATAAAATTATTACTTCCTGTAGATTTTTTGGTCAAAACAGGAAGGTGGAGCATTCTCCATATTGGTATGTCCGATTGACAC